GGTGTCAGATTCCAATTCTACCACGAAATTTTTTCATCTGTAAAATAGAGGGGAAAAACAGTACTTATTTCGCAGTTGTTATGAAGATTAAATGAGAAAATATGTAAAGTACTTGACACTTAGGAAATGTTCAATAAATAGCAGCCATTGTTATCACAATTTTAGAGGACTATTGAGATAGTTTATAGGAATAAACTTTTCATTATGTCAATCACCTCTGGGACCTGCACACCATGGAGAAAATATCAAGACTAACAATCTGCTTGGGGACTCTATCTCTGGAGGAGAAACAGACCACATTTGCAGCAATTAAGTCAGAGTTCTAAACTTTCCTGGCCCATCTTTCACACAACTTTTTGCCCCTAAATTTGAATCACTGGAAAATGACCAAGCTTTCTGAATAGTACCCCAAGTACAGCATTTTAGCTTAAAGGTCCTAGTCACTGTTAATTTTTTATTCTTTGTTTTCCCCAATAAACAATACCTTAATAATTTACATTTTAAAGTTTCAAAAGTACATTCACACATATTTTCTCATTTGATACTCAAAACCCTGGGAGATAGGTAGGGCAATAAGATTATGCCCAACATATAGATGAGGAACTGACTCTCAGGAGGTTGAGATATTTGCCCAAGGTGACTCAGGTAATAATTAATAGTACTGAGACCACAACCCAGATCTTTTAACTCTAAATTCCACTACACGATACTATCTAACCATAAGTGCTCATTCCACTGGACAACAAGTTTGGAATAATTTTCATTGTCTGATACCTTAGGATAGACCCTTTATTGATTGTACCTTCAAGGTTGATTTATTGAAATGTCAGGTAAAAAGCCTGGGGTTCAAATGTCTGTGTTAGTCCCAGAAGAACAGACAAAGATTAAAAAAAACAAAAGGAAGAACAAGGGTGTCTTATCGGAGAATTGACACACTTCCTTCTTTCTACCAGCTGTGATCTTTAATTTCTCTTTTTCCATGCTTTCAGAAATAAAAGGATATTCCTTATTAGGTACAGTATATTATTTTGGCAATTATGATCCCTTTATTGATCATACAAACCCAGACAAATAGTCTACCTGTGATAAGAATATGTAATAAATAAAGAACATGATAGTCACACCCTAAAGTCAACAGTTTGGGTTATGACAAACTTAATAAGATAAACTGTAAGAAGAAAAATTGTTTCACCAACATAAGCCAAACATTTCTGTGGGGGGGCTGGCCAAAGCCAATCATTTAACCATGTGATTTACTCCATGGGGATCTTTATCTCCCTCTTGCTTCCCTTCTTTCAATAAACATTTCTGTACACCTACTATGTACATGATACTGAGCTATCACAGCAAGGAAGGACACAATCTCTGCTTCCAAAAGCTCTCACAATAGGGTGTAACAACAGATAAGTCAAACTGATAATTATAATAATGTGTAACAAACATTATGATAAAGGTATGCATAGGATGCTAGGCATTCACTTTTTTGTGGTTACAATAGTTTTCAGGAAAATGCTTTTCTATGACTTCTTAAAAAACTGATTTTGAATCCCATCTGTATCATTTATCAACACCTTTTAAATCTTTTTTCTTCAAAACCGACTAGGTGACTCTAGGTGACAGTGACTGACATTTTTAGGTGGGGACAGCTGGCTGCTGGCTGGTGAGGGGATCTGAACCCCTGACCTTGCTGTTACATCACTGCTCTCTAAACAACTGAGTGAACCAGCCAGTCCCTAACTGTCTTTTATAGTGTAAAATTTACACCATCAAGTGGTACCAAGAACCTACTTAATCATAAAAAAAATAAAAATAAAAATAAATGCATAAATGCCAGCTTTTGTAGACTTGGTCTTTGGTTTGAGTTAATTTATGACCAGTGATGCTTTCACTCAGATTAATAATTGAAGAAGTTACAAAGTTCTCCCCAATCTGATCAGCTGTAACAACTGAAATAAACAAATCAGTCCCATGATTCTGCTTATTTTCAAATATTCTCCCAAAGGGACTTATTCTGTTGACATGACTCTTAATTATAAAGATACATTTCTTTGCAATCCATCTGCATTATTTCATTACCATGTGAATGCACAGGCTTTAAGAAAAACTAGTCTTGCCCTAGGTTTGGTCATATTTACTTACCTAGGTCTAATTCTCAGTAAAAACATAAAAAGAGAGGGTGTAGGCTTTTATAATTCCACTGCTTCTATCAGAAGCAGCCCTTTACAGCTGCCTTATCCAAGAAGTTTTAACTGAAGCTGGATTCCTTCGGGCTTTCTTTGTTTACTGCCTCTAACCTTCAGCGAAGTACTGACGTTAGAGAAGGTCCTACATTTTGGTTTGCATTTTGGAGATAGCTCTAGAATAGGGAAAATAGTTTGGAAAATCAGGTAGCCCAGGTTTGAAACATGGCTCTGAATCTTATGAGCTATGTGTGATTCTACCACTCTGAGCCTCAGTCTCCTGATTGTAAAATGGTGAATAATGATGTTTTTCCTTGTGGAACTTTCACAGAATGGCAATTAGATAATGTTTGTAAAGCACTCAGGCTGTGTTTGGCACATGGCAAGCATTCAATAAATTCTACGTAATAAATTCTAGTAATAGCTTTCCTGCCAGTGTCAAATCTCTTAAGTTTACATTAAAAAAAAATAGAAAGAAAAGGTGACATAGACCAAGCAAAATTTTGTTTGTACAGAATGTATAATTTTCTGAGAGGATGCATTAGTTTCCAGTAGATTCTTAAAAGATTTGTCTGAAAAATACTTGTTTAGAACCTAAAAGAACTTAGACATAAAAACTGGTCTGTGATCATGAGAAACAACTAAACGAACATTAAGTTCAAAGATCATATTTATTCCCAAAGAACTCCAAACAGACTTCTCGCTTCAGTTTCTCACCAAGAGGTCAGGTTACAGAGGAAAGCATCTACCCACCTTCTTATCTAGGAAGAGACAACTAACTACCGAAGAGGCAGTACTGCATAATTTTCCTGTTCAAGTTTTAGAATCAGTCAAATCCAGATTTAAAATATGGCTCCATTACTTATATATTGTGTGACTTTGGGCAATTTAACTTCTTTGAGTATCAGTTTCTTTGAGTCTAAAGTCGGAATAAGAACAGTACCTACCACATTATCTGTTGTGAGGATTCAATAAAATAATGTATAAAAATATTTGAAACAGAGCCTGGCCTATTTAGTGTTCAAATTTTGTGGGGTTTTTTGTTTGTTTGTTTTTTGCTATTATTCTCATCAACTCCTCGACGTTATACTCCCAACTTGGGAAGATAACTCTCCCAGGTGCTTAGAAAAATGCAGGGTAAAGATTTCTGTAATTCTTTTGATGCTCCCGGTAAGAAACTATAGATAGGGATACCTGGGCAAGGGACATGAGACTTATATTAGATGGGTGGACAAAACTGGCTTTACGAATAATCAGAATAGATGACTCCAATGCAGTATTCTTTGTTGGGTGCTGGAAAAGCCCACCCAGCCCCCTAAATTTCTTCCACTCCATCATCTTGTCTGAAATTCCATCGTTAGAAATAATACCTTTGGATCACTAACAGTTCCGGAGAGGATACCAATACTCTTGAGAGGTTTATCAACTCTCTTTATTGGACCTCTGGCTCCCACCGCTCCCCCACAAAGAATTAACCAATAAAAGCTCAACGTGGTAGCCCTCTCAAGGGTTCTAGCTCCTTCCCAGGGGAACAAGACTGAGCCACTCACGATTCTTGCCTTCAAGATGGGAAGGCCCTGGTAGGGTGGGAGTGAGGGTAGGGGAACTGAGTTCTTTATGAAGGACAGAAGCCTGCAAGGAGGATTCCCTAAGACAAGGAGAGTAAGATGGAGGGGGCAGAATGGGTGCAGAAAGTGGAGCTGGAAAGAGAAGTGGGAAGAGTGCCAAAGGGAGACTTCCTCCCTTTCTTCTGCAAGTCTGCCTCCTAGGTGTCGGGAGCTGGGGGCTCGCTGCTGCTTATGAAATGGGTCAGGGTCCTGAAGCTGGGGCTGGGGGGGGGGGGG